TCTAATTTATGCTATTCTTGTACCTTTCCTTATTTGCATGTTTTTAAACTAGTCTCTTGATAATGGAGTCACGATGACCCCGAAACGTTGAGTAATAAATCTTTCCTGGTTTTTTCAAAACCAATATCGCACGAATTACGAAGTGATGAGTGCGATATCGGTTTCCGCGTGCAATTTAACGCGGAATTCACGAGTCAGGTAATGGATTTTCCTTGAATCGCATAATTGAATAAAAATAAGAAACAAGAAAACAGTAATAACATCGTTTGTTATTTATCCTGAGCGCGAATAAGGGAATCGAATCAATGTCACAGCCACGTTTTCAACTCGCAATTTGACGCTTAAAAGCGACCTTTCAGTTCAAGACTGGGTGAGAGGTGGCCCATCCACCGAAAAATGGCTATCCTCATATTTCAGTCAGAGACACCTTAATAGTAAACATAGAAACGTGGTAAGGATTTTTTTTACCCAGACTCGCTTCTTTATCTTAGAAAATTCACTAAAACTGAAACAAGCATCAGTAGCCGTAAAATGGCGGAAATCAATTCCCCGCGGTGTAGAGGCAAATAAACTTTGCTCATGAAAAGCGCAAAAGAAAGCAAACTCGTATCAATTTTATAAATTTGTATTAGAAGGAGAGAGGTATGGTTTAAGTCTAAAACGGGACCATTTCATTTAATTTGGAGTTCACGGAACGCTTTTGAAAATCACCAATATTTCAATCTTCAAATACCGCAGATCACAGCAAATGTTCAATTATCATCTTCTCCATGCGGTATAACTCAGAATCACTTCAGGTTAAGCTCACGATAAGTGGAATTAGTATCGTTTGCGAGGATTTAAAAATTAGTTTGTGCCTTTTCACTTCCGCATGGAAACACCAGGCTGAACTTTGTGAAAATCGCAACATCGGCATTTACGCCGCGACATAATCTCATTAGGCAGCCTGTGGTTAACCCCGAAATTCCAAGCATTTTTTAGCAGTTAGCACCGTGTTCGATCAGGAAATCAATACAATAAGCTAGCCTTGCATAGCTAACGACGACAGATGGGTTTTATCCCTGCTTTCGTTTCAAATTCTCCTCCATTTCCCATGGCGAAACTGTTTACAATCGCCACATTCCGTAAGCTAGCGGAGGGCGTCTGTTTTTCTTGGCATATTCGAACACATTTAAGTTTTAAGAAAGTTCTAGGGTAACATTGAGCTTCATTATGAAATTTAAAGGGGAAAATTGTTGAAATAACCAGCCTTGAGGTTACTATAGGAAATGTAGAGAGATTAGTATGGAGAATACAGATATTAATGTAGAGGTGTAAAGGATAGGAACCGGAGGATCGAGGGGGAGTGGGCTGAGGGTTCACTTCCACAAACCGGGGCGAGAATAATGGAAATTCCTAAACAATCCCATAACATAGTGGTAAAACTTAGTTTACAGATCTAGAATCCGAAGACATTAAAAAGAAATATACTTTTTATTTTACATTTAAGTTTTCTACAATCGTGACGAAATATCATATCACAGGAGCTCATACTGATTATGAAAATGATACAAAAAAAAACACTCGGGAAACTTCTATTTCTCAGGGGAGCAGACTACTAGCAGTCTCTCCTTTTCAGTGAAGTCCATTGCGCGAGTAAGAAAAAACTCAGTGAAAAAAATTGATGTTAGCACACTGTGGGGACATCTATATTTTTTACTCGCCCAACAGACTTCGCCAAAAAGGGGAACTGCTCGTAGTCTAAAAGTAAGAAACTAATATCTTTATCTATGATCCACGATTCGTCCTTTTACAGTTCTTCTTTACGACACAAATACAGGGCAGTATTTTGTACCGGTAAACCCTCGCGAATGTCATACAGGAACTATTAATGAGCCTCTCTGTGGGTACCCACGGTCTTCGTTTTCTTCGCGTTTTTTTTTTTTTTTTCAGGAAGATCTTTGTTGTTCAGATTGAAATTGCAAGCTTCCCTGCTCACATAACGTCGTTCGACACCACCACAACTTTAAAGGCGGCGTTTCGGTATATTTTGAGTTGATGGTATATAGAGAATACTTAACTTCTAAGTCGAAATCTACCATGAATAAATTATACTCTGCAAAACGCGAGGTTAAAGAACAGCGACACGACCAACATGATAGAAATGAAATAGAACCATTGGCTCGTGGGTTTTCATTGACGTCATTAATGTCATTAATGATTACATTATCTGTGGACTATTTTTTGTCGTTTTCAGACTTGTAATGGCATCATGTGGTTTCGCGGCAGCGACTGTTATCCACTGTTGATGCCGTTGTCAAAATCGCAGTAAATTGTGGGAAAATGCCAAAATTCAGAAACAAAAGAAATTTTCTGTAGTGCTTGCGAGTTTTGACAGTTTTATATCTTAATGTTTATTGTTATCACGCAAATTTTGGTCAATTTTCGCATCTTCGCTTCAATCTTGAGATCTTCGTTTTATCCGCGGTGATCTTAGCGTCTTCGACTTCTTCGGAAATGCCCATGCAAAGAGAGGCTCATTAATATGGTGAGAATAATTTTATTTCTGACAAGTTTTAATCACACGGATGAGCTGTTGACAAGAACTCTTACTCTGCATCTGTTACACATCAGCTATTCTTAGCCCAGGGCCTGTCATTATTTATCGCTCAAGGGGAGAGGAGGGGGGGGCTGAAAGATTTTGTTTTTGTCACGCTAAAATTTACATGATCACCCCGTAAGGCTATGTAATATTCCTTGACACATGATAACACGTGTCCTGATTTGCTGTAAATCTGGGATGGAGTCAGTAAACGGTGTATCGCAACATTTGAACTGGCACACCAGGGTGGAGAGGTTACCTAGTTATGTACAGATGTACAGGCACACCAGGGTGGAGAGGTTAGTCATGTACAGGCACACCAAGGTGGAGAGGTATGTGCAAGCACACCAGGGTGAAGAGGTTAGTTAGGTGCAGACACACCAGGGTGGAGAGGGTATTTTTGTGCAAACACACCAGGGTGGATAGGTTAGTTTTGAACAAACACACCAGGGTGGAAAGGATAGTTTTGTACAGGCACACAAGGGTGAAGAGGTTGGTTATGCGCAGACGCACCAGGGTGAAGAGGTTAGTTTTGTACCAACACACCAGGGTGGAAAGGCCAGTTTTGTACAGGCACATCAAAGTGAAGAGGTTAGTTATGGGCAGACACACAAAGGTGGAGAGGGCAGTTTTGTACCAACACACCAGGGTGGAAAGGTTAGTTTTGTACAGGCACACAGGGATGAAGAGGCTAGTTATGCGCAGACACACTAAGATGGAGAGGGTGCAGGCACACCAGGGTGGAATGGATAGGTTTTTTACAGGCACACCTCGATGGAGAGGTAAATAGTGTAGAGGACTTTGCACGAATTACTAAGATGGTATTTTCTGCTACAGGTGTATTCCGTGTGTTTTTCTCAAAACGGCAGGGTAAGGAGAAAACAAGTAATGGTTCCTCACTTCGTTCGATTGTACTTAAGATATTTTTTCTAACATCAAATGCTTACTTGAAAGCTAGTGGTATGATTTCATTTTGTGATAGTGCAGACTGTTCCAAGCATTCAGAAGGTTAAACAAAGCGCAATAAAAAACGGCGCGTTGGTAGCAGAGGAGTGAAAAAACGATAGAGGCTTTCCATCACAGCCATTGTCTAGATATCATTAACAACTATAGAAGGATAAATCCCGAGAACAAAAAATAATAATAAATGTTCGGTTGTAAGATGTTATATCAAAGGAAAAGCCATAGACCACAACAACATCAGCTTGAGACTCTCTTCCAGGCAGTCTCAGAGCTGAGAATAAACTTTTAAGGATTATGATTATGTGATAGAGCAATGTTCCATTTTACAGTTGTGTGCTTGGTTGCCAAGCCTTTGAATGGGAGTGAGGTTAGGGTTCTCCTCGTTATGATACAAACCATGCTGCCTTTCAAATGTAAATCACTTTGTTATCATGCTAAGTAGATACAGGTCTCTATCACAACAAGGTCACCTTCAGCCTCAATATGAATCAAAGGCTTGGCAACTAAGTACACAACTGTAAAATGGCCTATTGTGTGTCAAAAGTAATCTTGGCTGGCTCCGTTTTTGCCTTACTTCGCTTTTTGATTGGTTCAGAAAACACTCACTTATCTCTCAACTAATCAGATGCTAAACTAAAAATAATTATGACTGGGTCACCCGCATTTTCCCGCGCTTTTGGATGATTGGTCGGTTTTTATTTTGAGCTCTCTCAAAAGTATTTTCCTTTCTTCTGATTGGCTTTTGTGATTCCCTTGTTTCAGTTTTACGATACTCATTCCAAAAGCACTCTATTGCCAAAACCATTATTATTGTTATTACTATATTACAGTTTAGGTTCCAAAAATTAACAGGTCTAGTTCTACGAACGCCGAACAGCACTGACCCAGGGTTAAATTTTAATCCAGGTTTCCTTATTTCTCTATTCAAGAACCTTTCTGTAATAATTTTCCTTATTCTCTTTATAGCATCCAATCATCAAATTGTTGACAAGAATAATTAAACTGAAATTTCTTTGAAAGCTTTCAGATCTGAAATCAAATTTTACGCGCTAACCCTGGGTTATCATAACCCAGCTTTGAAAGACCCGGCCCAGATGTCTTCGCCTGTGCCTTTCGACCACTCACTCCCTTAAGTGATTTACATGCGAATTCTCATTACAAAAATATCAACGCGTTATCTATCTAATGACAATTCAGAATACACACCTATCAATCTAAGAGTGACTTCTTTTTTTTTTTTACGTACTACCGAGCTGATTTTCCCAATCAATTTAGAGAGAAAATCATAACAGCTAGTGGATAGAATTTCGAATCATATCCTACAAAAATAAAAAAGTGAATGTTTTTTTGTAATCTCAAAGAACAGTGCCATAATTTTCGCATTGTAAAAATTTCTTAATGTTCTCAATTTTTTTTAATATTCAATCATCTGTTCATTTTTGTTCCTCCGCGGCAAAGATAACACAATTTTCGGGCGAATGGCATCGCTTGCTTGACAGCTGGGCCGTGTAAAAAAAAGCACTCCAAATAGCAGTGCAAAGTTAAAAGTTTTTGTTTGAAAAGATACCAGTTTTCCTTCCAGAGAACGGGAGGGGAGGGAGAGTCAGGGATCAGTCGCTACTCTGTTTCTTGTCCTCATCATTCTCTTCCTCCGTCAGTTCTTTTTGCCTAAAGCAAACATTTTGAGTTAAGAATGATGTGACACATTTTTACGTTTGCATCATCTTCCAGTTGTTTACATTAGACTTGATATAGACATAACGTTAGCTTGAATAAGTCACCGTATTCATGGATTTATCGATTAATATATTCCCTAGTTATTTATTTATTTATTTATCTTTTTTTTTCGCTCAGATTGTGGTCGTTGTCCTGTCAATCTTTGCACTAAGGGTATAATTGTAAATATCTTGCACACTTTAGAAACTACACTGAACCTTAATCTGTTTTTTTTTTTAACTCTTTACCTCCCAATATCTGAGTTTTAACTCTCCCCTCAGCTGCTACACATTTCCTTATAAATTGGTTACGAGAATTTGGTGTTAGACCAAGAGAACAATTTGTACCTGATAAGTAATTACCTTTTTGCAGGATTATGTCTGAAAATACTTTAGGGAGAAGTTACATGTTAATCACTTCTACGAGTTAAGGGTTAAAATCCTTCAATATGTGCCATCATGATATAAAATCTTATACTTGCAGAGTTTTTTGACGTTTTTCTAACTTAAGAAAAAGGCGGTTCCCTATTTTTCTCACAAGTTCAAGTGGGTAATGTCAATTATACAAAATCACTCATAAACAAGCTTACCTTAATTTTTTCAAGTCGAAAGTTACGTTGTCTCCCATCAGCACAAACGGAGCCCATTGGGTAGGTTCGGCGAAGCCGTTGCCTCTCAACCACTGGATGGCCTGGTGAAGAGATTCGCTGGCACTTTCTCCAGCAGCCAGGTGTATGTAGAAATGATTCATGAGCTGCTCTGTGGCTTCGTCTTGTATGGCCCACGATGCCACCAACACAGAACGTGCACCAGATGCTAGGAACGCCCGAGTGATTCCGATGACTCCCTCTTGTTTAAACGTTCCACGCGCACTGTGACAACAACTAAGTACGACCAGTTTAGCTCGCAGCTTCACCTTTAAAATATCAGACACTGTCAGAAGATAGTCTTCCTCTTGGGGAATACTTTTAGTGGTGCAGTTAGGGGACAGGGCAATCTCTCCTCTCTCGGCATTACCATGGGCGGCAAGATGTATCAGGCTCACTGAATGAAGTGCGTGAAGTACCGCCTGCTTTGTTGCGCGCTCTCCTAACAAAGGCTGAACACCCAGGAGTCGACCGATCATCTCTGCCTCCCTTCTTGCTCCGGACAATGGTGTCAAGTTCAGGGTACGTCCATTGTAATGCACTTTGCCAGCCATAGGATCACCCACAACCAGCGCACCGGTCTGACTGTGATAGTCCCTCGGACATTCCTGAATGATCCCGAGAGTGGTCAGAGAAGGGACGATGCGGATTCTGTGGGTTTCTGAAAAATGCTTTCCTGCTGACTCATCCCGTAAAACAGCAAAAGGGACTCGGTACGAACATTTCTCAGGCACAATGATGACTTCAGGCTCTGTTAGTAAATCTTTGACAGGAGCGATAAGCTGGTCATAACACAGTTGAAGAATCATTTCATTCCGTTTGGTTTCTTCGCCTTGCATGGTTGCATGGCTCTCTTCTTGATGAGGGGACATGGCAATGTCGTCACCCAAAGATCTATCCTCGCAATTCTCATTAGGCAAAATACGGAAACATTTGGCACTATTTCTAAAAATATCCTCCACATCGCAAACGGACGTAGCTAAAAGGGTGTTGATTTTCATTTCGGGGCTCTCTCGATAGTGAATGCTTCCATTTGCTTCTAGAACCCACAAACGAACAAACCGTTCAAGATATGAAATGTACAAAAATGTGCAATTGCCCTCTTTACTCGCGATGCTTTCGATCCTGGGCCGATATGTTGAATTAGTTGGGATGTGGCTTCCAGTTAAGAGTTTATCCGCCATCAATTCTGCGAGGCCTCTAGCGCGCCTTAGGTCCTCCACATTAAGAGAGTCTTGCAGGCTCCCGCTGTAACACAGCATGCGACTGAGCAACTTGTAGGGGAAATCACCGTACTTTTCTAAGAGAGATGTTTTAAATTCATCGTTTCCTTCGAGAAAATTTCGTATCTTTTCATAAATCTCAATACTTTGACGAAGATACAGCATTGCCTCGTCCTGCTTTGATTGCAATATCTTTAACCGAGTGATACCGAGAAGGCTTTGAAAGTGAATCATATTGCCTCCAATTTCGCTGCCTATCAAGTGCGCTTTCTCAAAGTGTTTTTCCGCCTCGTCATAATTCCCAAGCGATAGACACACGGACCCAAGTCTTAGGTGGATGAAACCTTGTCCTTCTTTATCGCCAATATTGATAAAGATTCCCAGCGCTTTTTCGCATAGCTCTGTTGTCTTCTCATGGTCATGAAGCGAATAAAACACACCTGCCAAGCCGGCGTAACACCTTCCTTCGTAGTCTTTGCCACCAGTTTCTATGCTGATGGCGAGTGATTTGTCCAAATGTTCGATAGCCAGCCTATTTTTACCAAGTGCTTCAAACACAAGTCCAAGATTCCCATATTGTATTCCTTCTCCATTCCTGTCGCCAATTTCTTTTGCGATAGCAAGAGCTTTCTCGTCGTACTCTTTAGCCTTCTGATATTCACCGAGTGATTGAAACACACTTCCAAGATTCCCATAGCATGTTCCTTCTCCATCCCTGTCGCCAATTTCTGTCGCGATAGCAAGAGCTTTCTCGTAATATTCTTTAGCCTTCTGATATTCACCGAGTGATTGAAACACACTTCCAAGGTTCTCATAGCGTGCTACTTCTCCTTTCCTGTCGCCAATTTCTGTTGCGATAGCAAGAGCTTTCTCATCATATTCTTTCGCCTTCTGATATTCACCGAGTGATTGAAACACAGTTCCAAGGTTCCCATACC